TGTGAGATCAAATGAAATAATATTTGTAAAAAAGTACTTTGTACAGTCCCTGGTACATAGTAAGTGCTATTTAAAAGTTAGCTATTATTATTAAACTGTAAAAAAAATCCACCCAAAAAAATTTGGAGGTAACTTTTCCTTTCATTGCCTGGAGGTTTTGTTGCCATTTAGGGAATGATGAACTAAACAACTAAGAACTCCAGGTAGAAGATGAAGTGTTGCATAATGGATGAGGAATTGGACTTAGAGTCAGGAAGGCCTAGGTTCAAATTCTACCAGAGACACTAATTACCTATGCAATCTTGGGCAACACCCCTAACCTCTCTGTGTCTCAGTTTCCTCATCTGTAAAATTGGATTCAGTGGCTTCTGAGATCCCTTCCAACTCTAAATCTATGATCTCAGTATCTATAATTCTATGAACTCCAGGCAGTCATAATCCAAAGCCGGAGAAGAAAAGGAAAAGAACAACATTCAGGTCTCCCCCAGTTTGGAAGAGTGGGAGTATATGTTAATTATGGCCAGGATATATAACATCAATACCAGCAGTAGGTCGTCACTAGTGATCAAAACAGCTACTGAAGTTTTGTTAAGACAAAACAGAGGATACCAATGGAGTTTTGCATACTCTTGAACATTGGAAGCAGCCTCAGGGTCAAGCATGATGATTAATTTATGGTGGTATAGGGGAGAGCTGGCACCTTATCTTGCTTTATAGGTCTGTATAGTTTCCTGGGAATTCAGATACCCCAGTCAGCAATCCCAGGTGTGAATCTAGTGTTGTGTGACTCTAGGAGAGTGGTCAAGAAGCTCCACTGGTCTTGTGTGTCTGGGGGCAGCAGGAATGGCTGAGAGGAGACGGGGGTAATTGTTTTATTCTTTTTTGATCACATGGGAAATTGGAGTCTGGCCTCCCTGGCAAAAGAACCAACACAGAGCAGGTAAGGTCTCTGTTGGCTGCCCTCCTTGAGGAAGAGATATTTTGAGGTAAAGTGAAATAATAGGGACCATTGAACAAACACTGGTGAAATCAGCACAAAACAGAGAACGAGTAGACAGAAAGAACAGAAAAGTGTTAGATGCAGATCAAACCAAAGGTGCTCTTAGGCTTAACGTGTCCCTCTCACTGAACCTACCCAGCTATTGGGACCTACCTCAGATTTTCCCAAGTGCTGTCATGAGTCTCCTTTCATCTTGACACGAAGCCATTTGGTTTTGAGGAAGAAACTGAATTCACCAGGAAGACTGGGCAAATAGTTGTTTGCTAACTGCAATCTCTGGGCCATTAAGTGGCACCATAGTGCATATAGTGCAGGGCCTGGAGTTAGGAGGACTCCTCTTCTAGAGTTCAAATCTGGCCCCAGGCATCTGCTAGCTGTGTGTCCCTGGACAAATCACTTAACCCTGTGCCTTAGTTTCCTCATCTGTAAAATGAGCTGGAAAAGGAAATGGCAAACTACTCCAGTATCTCTGCCAAGAAAATCCCAAATGGGGTCATGAAGAGTCGAACACAACTGAAACAACTGAAAACTGCACTCTCTGAAGGAGATGAAATGCTAGCCCTTTCTCTGTTCGTTACTGTTGTAGAAATGTTTAAGTATAATTGAAAAAAGCCTTGGTTTTTTGAAGGTAAGTTGACCACGATACAATCAAACAAATCCAGATGTTCCATAGCCTAAGTGGCAAAACACCACATATATAGAGATGTTATCTTTAATTATTTGACAAAAATGAACCTGGCAGCTAGGTGGTCATGCAATGAATAGAGCACTGGGCCTGGAGTTAGGAAGACCCAAGCTCAAATCCAGCCTCAGACACTTGCTACTAGCTGTGTGACCCTGCACAAGACACTTGATCTCTGTCTGCCTCAGTTTCCTCAACTGTAAAATGAGCTGGAGAAGGAAATGGCAAAGGACTCCAATATATTTGCCAAGAAAATCCCAAATTGGGTCATTGGGTCACAAAGAGTCAGACTAAAACCGTCTAAAACAACTGAACAGACAACAATAATATATATATGAGTATTCATGAGAAGCAACATGGCATTTTGGAGCTGACCTTGGACCTAAGACCTGGGTTTCAGTTCCACCTCTGACATATGCTAACTATGTGACACTGGGCAAGTCATAATCTTTCAGGATTCTAGGAAACTCTCAAAGACTAAAAGTTACGGAGAGGGTGACAACCTGCATTGGTAATGTGATTTTCATCACCTAGTAGTTTCCTATATCAATGAAATCACAGGTCCAACCCTGATCTTCTGACCTCTGTGTGTATGTGTAAGTTAGGAGAGAGATTTTAAATATATTCATACATGTCAAATGTAGACACATATAGTTATAAATATGTCACTTCTCTGACCTCTGGGACACTGATATTTTATAGTGCATTAAAACATGCTGACAGGTTTGAGAACTTCTCTTCACAAATCAAATCAGAGAATAAAGTATTTTCAGTCTTTGCTTTGTAAAACTTAATAAATAAAGGCAGTGCTTGGGGTGGAGATGGGAACAGAATATGAGTGTAAGCGGGATTTCTGACTGACGCACAGGAACGGACGTGAGTGCTCTGAGTCAGGAGGGTGAGAGACGCCAGGAGATGGTCTAATGAGATTGGCTCTGGCCAGTTTCTGAGAGCACCAGATTTGCCCTGGCCAATCTGAAAGCACTGCCATGCTCATTTTTCTGTGTTCCCTTCCCAGCTATTATGAGTTAGACTCACACTCCACAGCCCCCACCTCTCCTGTCATCAGTGATTTGCTGGTTGACGTAGTATACAAGAAACATTTCTCTCAGCAGGAGATGAATCTACTCTTTTTCTCTCTTGACTATGGAGCCCAATAAGTCCTGAACTCAGGCTGTTTGTCAAGAATTCTGTAACCACACTCTCTTATGATAGCACCAAACTAGGTGGGGCAACTGTCCGCTTAGCTGATCCAACTAGGCTGATGAGAAAGCTGACCATATGGAGATTTATAAGCTTGGACCTACAGTCTGCCAACACACAAGCTGGAATCACTCAAAAAAATTTTATTAGGAGCCTCTGTCTTTCTCTGTCTCTCTATCTCTTTCTCTCTCTACCTGGCTGTGTGTCTTTCTCTGTCTTTATCCTTCTCTGTTCCAAACATTGCACTGGCCTCACTTTCCTCTCTTTAAAATCTTGACCTTGTGGGTTGACCAATTCAGGCCTTGAAAAATTCCAGTCTCAGTTTAATCCCACCACTCTGTCATTGCTTCTAGAAAGGGAATATCAATCTACTCCCCTATGTCTCCACTCACTATCCCTATAATTTTACAGCCTTCTTGCATAACCACTTTCCAATATGTTTTATTTTCCCTTTTTACAATGTAAGGTTTTTGAGGACAGGCATTGCCCTTGCTTTAATATTTTTGTACCCAGAATTTAAAACAGTGCTTGCCACTTAGTAAGTGATCAGTAAGCAATTAGTAAATTATATTCATCCATCCATCCATACATCCATCTATTCATTCATTCATTACATGGCCAAGCTTGTCTCCAGAGAGAAGATGAGAAAATATACCTCCCCCTAACCATTGTAGAAGTGGGAGACTATACACTCGGTCTCTATATTTTGAAGAATTTTGTTCACTAGTAATTGAAACCTAGAAAACAATCCTTTATCAACTTAACCTCAGAGAATCCCTTGCTTCCTTTAATTTTCTGTTGAAGTGCCATTTCCTACAGGAAATCTATCCTGATCACCCCTTCCAACCATTACTAGTGTCTTCTCCCCTAGAAATCATTTGTATATATTTTCTGTGTTTTATGTTTCCCAAGTGATAAATGGTCAAAAGACAAGAACAGGAAGTTCTCAAAGGAAGATACGCAACCTATCAATGGCCACAGTGGAGCCAAAAATACTCCAAATCTCTGATAGAGATATAAAAATTAAAGCAACTCTGAGGTTCTGCCTTATAGCCACCAGATCAACAAAGATGACTAAAAAAAGGAAATATAAATGTTAGAAAGGTTATAAGAAAACATGTACATTAATGCACTATTGGCAGAATGGTCCAGCTATGAAATGGTCCAGCTATTCTGAAAAGCAAATTGGGAGTGTTACCTCCACTAGGCCTATATACCAAAGAGATCAAAGAAAGAGGAAAAGGACCCATAGATACAAAAATATTTATGGCAGCTTCTTTTCTAGGGGAAAAGACCTGGAAACTAAAGAGGTGTCCATTAATTAGGTAGTTACTGAACAAATTGAGGTATATAAATGTAATACGATAACATTGTTATAAAAAATGACTACTTTCAGAGAAATCTGGGAAGATTTGTAGTAAAGTAAGCAGAAGAGAATAATTTATACAATAACAACAATGTTATAAAGAAAAACAACTTTGAGAGACTTAAGAACTTTGATCAGTGCAATGATAAACCATGATTCCAGAGGACAGATGATGAAGCAATATTAATCACCTTCCAATAGAAAGTTGATGGACTTAAAATACAGAATGAGACACACATTTTTGGACATGGACAATGTGGAAATTCACTTTGCTTGACTATGCATATATTTGGTACAAGGGTTTTGTTTTTCTCTCTTTGATTTAAACAAGTGGGGATAGAAGGAAAAAACAAATGCTTGTTAATTGAAAAACAAAAAGGAAATGAAAAAAATCTATATACAGAATATACTACCCAATAGTGTGCAAGTTCCTTGAGGGCAGGGACCTTTTCATTTTTATTTCTATATCCACACAACTGGAAGCACAGTGCCTGGCACAAAGTAGTTGCTTAATAAATGTTTGTTGCTGAATTGCTGAGCACACCTTCAAAAGTTAGTCCTGGTTTCACCACTCTGCTTTTGGACCTAAAAGTAGTAGGTTATGCCACAAAAATCAATCATCCATTTATTTTCTCTAGGGCAGAGAACCAAGTCTGTGCCTTGTTAAAGACAGACAGTAAACAAAATCAGTGCCTGCCAAAAACTGAAAAGGGAGGTGGCTGCAAACTAGGGAAAATCAAGACACTTACCTACAAGACCAGTCGCTGCAGGAGCTGGCAAGAAAGTAAGAAGGCAACAATTAACTCTGAGAACTCACATTGAGACATTACACTTTTTTTTTCTACCTAATGTGAATTCAAAGAAAAGCAGACACTTACCTATTTGCTGTTTCTTTTGTGTAAGCCAGTTTCTAGGGAAAACATGAAAAATACATATCCATCAATGCATAATGAATTTTATTAGCTGAGACTCTTTTTCTTAATGATGCAACATCTGTGCCATTATCCATTCAAACTTTACTAGATGGACAGATGGCTGGATATTATGCTGAGGCCACATTTGAACCCAAGTCTTCCTGGCTTAAGACTAAACCCAGCACTCTATTCACTGAGCTACCTAGCTGCCTCCTAATAAATCAATAGAATGAATCAATTTTCTTCAACTTCCATTTCCTTTTTTTTTTCTTATGCACTTAACATAGTGATGGAAACTTCTTGTAAATATAACTCATTCTCAATGAGTCGCCTTTGTAGGATCACAACTTTAAGAGTTGGACAGCAGCCATTAGATATTATCTAGTTACTTTGTCAGTTACAGTCTAAATATTTGTATTTGATTATATTCATCTTACATACTTTATGTTTAATAGTTTTTAGGACACTGTAATCTCTTGCTTTTTAAAAATTTGCTTAATTCTAATAATTTAAGCTGGTTTGACTGTTGGTTTTGGGGTGGCATCACAGAGTGAAGAAAATATTGGGTCTGAGTCTCAGCTCTGACATGTGCTAGCTCTATGACCTTGGGCAGGTCATTTAACTTAGGTGAGCCTCAGTTTCTTCTATTGTAAAATGAGAATAATAAAGATAAACATCCAACTTATCTCAGAATTTTTTGGGGGAAATGTTTAATAAATCTTACAGAACTATAAATGTAAGTTACTAGTATTCTTAGTTAGCTCACAAGATTGTTATAACCAAAAAGATTTGTAAACCATAAAGCTTTATATAAAGGGATTGTTGTTGATATTTAGACAGATTGGTTTGGTTAGGTTTTTATAGATTACATTGCGTGTAATATTTTATTATAGGTTATGATATCTTACTGTGCTTATACTCTAAGTTTCTAAAATACATTCAATTCAATTCAATTTAACCAACACCTATCAAGGGCCTACTATGTGTGAGGCAAAGTGCACAGTTCAAAGCCACATAACAAAGTACAAGAAAACTAGATAAAAACAATCCAAGTAATCCACTTCTTATTCAACTGAGGAATAATTCTGTTGGAGTCCATTATTAAATGGATGAAAGACTTTAACTTCAAATCTCTGGAGGAGATATTTGGAGTATTCTTAACCTATGCCTGGTTAGATGCACCAAATATCACATGCTAAACAACATCTTCATTTCATCATAAATGGATGTAATAAATTTATTGCCTATAAACAAAACGTATGGATTCTTAAGCTGGGGTCTAGAAACCCCCATTTCCATGGATAGATTTTAAGGGGTTAATGAACTTTTAATAACTATTTCAATATAATTGATTTCTCTTGTAATCCTGTGTATTTTATTTTGTGCATTTAAGAATATTATTCTGGGAAAGGATTTCTAGATTTCACCAGACTTACAAAAGAGCCCATGACATTAAAAAAAAGAACCTCTATGTTTATAGAATGATATAAATTAGAATGGTTTAAATGAGTGCCCTGGAACCCATAATGAGAAATAAACATATTTAGAGGAAAATATCTCAGATATAAATGATATTGATTACACTAAAAATATATCTACTTCCCAAATGTAAAATGCCTGACTTGAGGTGCCTTCATTCTACTTGAAGGGGAATGGGGGGAGCCAAATAAATAGATACAAATAAGTAAATAATCCACTCCAGTATCTTTGCCAAGAAAACCCCAAATGCAGTCACAAAGAGTCGGACATGACTGAAACAAATGAACAACTAAAAGCAAATAAAAGGTCATTTGAAGAGAGACAAAGCATTAAAAACTGAGAAAGCTGGGAGGTGACAAGAAGAGAATGCCTTCCAGTCAATAAAGGACAGCTTATGCAAATGCATGGAGGCTGTAGATGGAATGCTAGGTTCCAAGAACAACTGGTAATTCACTTTGACTAGAACATAGTGTACATGAAGAGCAATAATGTGAAGTAAGTCTAGAAAGGCAGAATGGACCCAGATTGCAGAAGCCCTAAAATGGCAGGCTGAGTGCTTATTTTATACAATAGGGAACCACTAATGGCTTTTGATCTGCGGGGATGTCATGGTCAGACCAGTGATTTAGGAAGATTATTTTAGCACTACATGCAATATATGGATCGTAGAGAAGAGAGATTAGGAGCAAGAAGACCACTTAGAATGTGATTACAATAGTACAGGAGAGAATTAATGGATAACCATGCAAATAGAAATAAAGGGATATATAGGAAAGGGAGATATGTTATCATGGTAGAAGGGACAAAATTTATCAACTAAGCCAATGTTGGAGGGTCAGAACTGGAAACAAAAGTCAAGGAAGACTTATCAGGAACCTGAGTGATTAAAAGGATAACAGTGTCCTTAACAAAAACAGAGAAGTTAAGAAGAGCTATTGTTAAGGGAAGGTCAAATTCCATTTTGGATATGCTGAACTTGAAATGCCAATGAGATATCCAGGTGAAGATAGAGAATAGATAATTGTCATTATAGGCCTAGAGATTATAGGAGACTCAGAATATTTGAGCTAGAAAAGACCATAAAAATCATCTAATCCAACTTCCTCATTTTAATCTTTCTCTAGAATCAAGGCAAAAAGGAAAAATCCAGCAATTAGATTATTCTCCTGAAGCATTTCCTAACAAATACTTTTAGGAAAAGTTCCCTATAAACTATCAATTTCATAAAATGTATTTTTACATTAATATTACATATAGCATAAATGGAAATTTAAATTATAGCTCCCACATCCTAGAATTCAGTCTTCCAATCATATGAAGTCTTCCCAGTGCTTCACACCAAAGGCCCTCATTTTAGAACCAACACTGGTTAATTAACAAATATTTACTGAAACATGATGAGGCTGACAGTACAAGAGGTGTTGATGATCCTCAAAAATATGTTTAATTTTGCACTTGGTGCTTTTGGAGCAGTTAATACATAAAACCAAAACTTTTAATACCCTATCTTCCCAACTTGTAAATACACTTAAAATTATGTAAATGTACTTTGTTTTGTTGTAAAATAACCAAAACTAGTTTGCAAAATGGCCTGCAAAATGGACCCCAGCATTTAAAATTTATTTCTACCCATTTTATCATTGCCAGCCTACCTTCCTCTTATTAAACAAAAATTAGGTGGGGGTAAGCAGAGTCTAGATCCATGATTTCATTGATGTGGGACAATGATCTCCAATAATTACACACCAGTATCAGCAAAAAAAAAGTTTGAGCATGTACTCCCAAAACATATATATGTGTATAAATTATATATAGTACATGTAATATAATAGCTAGAAATAATAATAATAAGCATTTATATAATGCTTTAAGGTTTAGAAAATGCTTTACATATATCATTTCATTATATCCTCACAACAACTCTATAAGGTAGGTGTCATTACTATCGCCATTTTACACAAGAGGAAACTGAAGCTAAGAGATGTTAAATAACTTGCCCAGAATCGCACAGCTAGTAAGTATCTGAGCTAGAACTTAATCTCAGGTCTTCCTGATTCCAAATCAAGTGCTTTATCCCCTGAAGCTTAAGTTCTTCATATACTACTGTGCCATTATATCATATATGTTGTAAGACAGATGCAAAAATAGAAATTTTTAAAGAATGAGATAAAAATGAAATAAATAATATTCTTATTGATTAGGAGAAAAAACATTTTGTCCTCACTAAAATGTTTTTCATGATAATTAGATACCATTTCTAGTAATATTTTAATGAGAACAATGTGATTAATCACCCAAGAAGCTGTCCTTCCTTCCTCAATGAGTGCAGTGTCTGGCTCACGGTTTTTTGTTCCTTCCAATTTCTTGCCCTCACACTAGGGGACTTCCACATACACATTAATACTCTGTTGAATATCTGAATGACCCAGTTTAATATACTCATATCCCATGACCTTTTCCTCTTCTTCCACTAGCTACATGCAGAAATAGTTGGTTATACTCTTGATTTTGCACTCACCTAGACGTGTTCCATTTTCATTAACTCTCAAATTCCATTATCTGATCATAATCTTTTTATCATTCTATTGTCCCTTCTGCTTTACGAACCCTAATCCTGTTCTTCATCCTCAATGTGACTGACCTCTAATCCCTCCATTCCTTAGTTTTTCCTGGATCATCACCCCTGCAGTAGCTACACTCTTCCTCCCTTCCCTGTGTCAACTTCTTGGTGAACCAACTCAGCTCCTCACTACACTCCTCCTTATCATGCTTTGCTGAGCCCCACGTTTAGATCCCTCTAACCATCTGCTGCATTCACTCTATTCATATTCTGCTAAATGAAATTGGAAAAAAAATCATGAAACCATACTGAGAAAGATGCTGACTGGATCCACCACAAATTTATATTACATCCTCTCAACTAGGCTCTCGCTTCAGCAAAGCAATCCTTTCAGACCTGTCTAATTTATTCACTATTGCACTCACCACCAGCTTTTCGAAACCTTTTCATCCCTCCTCAAACCTTCCATAGCTTCTCTCCCTCACTCTTTTAACTGAGAACCTTGCCTTATATTTCACTGAAAAAAATGGAGGTCATTCACTGAGAGCCTTCTCATTCATATAACTCAGATGCCATCCTTCCTCTGCTCTCTTCTCTTTCAATCCTATCTCACTTAAACAGGGAGTTCTTCTTGCTAAGGCAAACCCCATTAAATGCACAAATGATGCCATTCCATCCCATTTTCTCTAGCAGATTGCCTCCTCCATCTATCATTCTCTCACTAATCTTCAATCACTCTCAATCTACTGGTTGCTTCTCTGAGCTCTACAAACACTCATGTCATCTCCACTATTAAAAAACGAGCTCATTTGATATAACCATTCCTCACTAGCTATCCTCCTACATCTCTCCTCTCTTTCATGGCTAAACTCCATGAGAAAGATGTCTGGAATTAGAACATGTCTGCCTCTACTATTTCCTTTACTTTCACTTCTTAACTCTCTGCACTCTGGCTTC